TATTTATTGTTGCTCTGGTAAAACCAGTACTCGATGCATTGCAACGCGTACAAGGGGTCATATTTGTGGAGTAATTCGAGGGCGAAAGGAGGTTGGTGCAAGTAGGCACCAGAACGACAACTATTTTCTTCAGTTTTACGGTGATCTCTCCGTAGATACTCAAGATAGAGCAAAATGTGTCGGACAAAAAATTTCCGCTGTACAGAGATGAATAAATCTTGTACGGGACTTTTTTCTGCATTTTTGGTATTTAACGAGATATTTGCAGTCGCGAATACCGATGGAAACAGCGGTGCGTTGAACTTTAGCACGATAATACTCCATATCTCGGGAGGTAATTGAGATAATTAAAAAAATTGAAATTGAGGGTTTCTACCACGAAAAAATATAACTTTCTTTCAGCAGATGTTTTTTTGTACACATGATATTTACAGAGGTATTTGTATTCAAACAAGTTGCACATGGCAAAATTGCGTAATTGGCGGATTGTCTACTGCAAATAGTTTCGCATAAATTGAAGATGCGAAAAAATGGTTAACGGATAAAATATACCTCTTGTCACCCTCGATATTTTCTCTATTTACCATTTTTTCTGTATCTCCAATATTTACCGCGATATGGCTATTTATTTAAAAAAATTTGTATTCCGACTCTTTACCTTTCAATTTTTAACATTTATTTCTAGTTCCGGTCGAAATTTAAATTTCCCTCAATTTGTCAATATGTTTTCAACATTTTCTCCATCAAGAATATTGACACAGTGATTCCCACTTTTCTCCGCGAAACTTCCCAGAATTAATTTCTCCCTTTCGGTATTATTTATTAAAAAAATCCACGAATTCCTCGAAAAAACGTTAAAAAATCCGTAAATCTCAATCAAACGATAAAACTCATCAAGTGAACGTGATGCATTGATGAAATCGCTGAGTAACGAATGACCTCTACATAATTAATTCCGAAAAAAAAGTCAAAAAATAAGACGAGGAAAATACAATGGCACTGGGAAGGCATCAAAGGTCAAAAAAAATGTCGTCGTCAAATACCTCTTCGAGGACATTACAGACGCACGCTGTATCAAAAAATTCATCTAATCTGACGAGAGGAGACCCCGAAGTTTCATTTCGAAAGCATCTAATTACAAATTCAATCAATTCAATTCAATTTATCTTTCTGTTCCAAATGTAATTTCTCCATTTTACGATCGACATCGCAATATTTTTAAGAGGACAATATCAACAATTATTTATCATTTACAGGATTTTCTCATTTTTCAGTATTTAATTTATCAATTTATGGAATATTTATGGAA